TGTTAATATTATCATTCATTAGGCTTAAGTTATTCAGCAAGTCTTTTTTTTAGTGTAGATCTTTTTCTTGAAAGGAGATCAGTATCACAGAAGTCAGCGTCAATCGGGAACCGTCGGCACTTTCTATAAACGAGAAAATACTCGTTTACAGAAAGTGCTGAGTCGACGGTTGGGCGATTGGGTGTAACATTCAAAATGAACCTTTTCTCCCCAGACAAACCGAAGAAGCGGAACCATTATCTTTATAATATTGCTGGCACCAAATACCATTTAATATTTAATCACATGATTTTGGAATGTTTTTGACACATTTGAATAGAAGTTTTCAATGTCTACATAATGGGATTCACATATCCGGAATAAGGTAGACAGACTTCTCACTACTGAAGCCTTGCAGCCATCTTCCTGAACATTGGGACTCCGAAATTAACTAGTTGAAATCTACATCACTTGAGTGTGACGACAAAAATAGTTCATGCATGTCAATAACAGTTCTGACATGACGCAGTGAAAATATCATCATCATCATCATCGTCTTTGAATCCTGACTTTATCAATTCTATGACTGATTCTACCTTTCGACATGCTATACCCTGTGCATAGCACTACATTGTTGTATGAGGCGACTAATGTTTGGCCCGTGCATTATATCAGGGTGGGGTGAATTGTTTTCGTCTATGTCATTGCGAATGGAACAATCCAGTGACCAAAGGTTTATCACAATCACCGTTTACAATTGCTAGCAATGCAGGTCGGGTGGTAAATAGAATTAATATTTATGTTTTCTGCTATTTTGCTCCAGATATGATGTTTTACAAGTTTGTTCAATTTTCCAAGATAACACTCGATGGTTATCTAGAGGCCTACCATTACTTGAGCTTTCTAAAGAATATTTCAGCACAATGCTCTGGGACATACTCAGAAGCCTAACGCTATACCATAATAAAAGTTTATATTTATTTTAACGGGAGATACGTGCATTCTCATTTAAAAATAGATGTATTTATGAACCTGTGTATGATTGTTATGATCAAGAATGTTTAAACGAATGAAATATAGTGTGTCTTTGTTGACCTCTCGCCCCGACGTGGACGAAAGACCAAACATCCTGAGAAGAGGACATACTCCAAACACGAAGGTGATACCGGGCACCAATAGGAAATCACTGTGACTACTTTCCGCCGAATACTCTGGTAAGCCTGGTACGGTACAAGAGCCCTGGAAAGGAAGCTGTTAAGTTCTCGATCAGGGAAAAACGAAAAGGGCCGGAAGAGAGGCATTTTTGAAAATTCAATTTTATTTGAATGTACATTTATAATAACATGTCGGTAGCAGACGCTATGATATTGTTTCTGAGGACTGTATCAAACATTCATGCGAATGGCGGACTAGATAAGAAATGTACGTGATAAAACTTTTTCTGGGGCTTGTAGACGTATAGTATGTATGGGTTCGGTTTCTTCTCGCCCGATACAGCCCTCACAAATCATATTTGGGTTGGGTTGGCCGAGTATTTAAGGTGTCTGACCGTCCAAGATCACTAGCCCTCCACCACTGGTTCGCGGGTTCGATACCTGCGTTGGGAAGTCGCCAGTATATACCGCAGGTCAATATTTTTTTCTCCGAGTACTCCGGTTTTTCTTCGACTAGCAAAACCTGGCACGACCTTACCTGACCACAGCAGTTAATACGACGTAAAACACGAACAAAACAGATTAATATCATATCCTCGCATTCAAATATTTCATTACAAATTATCTTGTGAGCTATAAATGTAAGCTATAACCCCCGAGTCTGTTAGAATCTAATCTAAAAGTGCCGACGGTTCTCATACTACTATCAACAGCAATCTTACAGACACATTTTTAAAAGCCCTACCCACACTACCATGGATAATTAGTACTGTAGTAAGACGTCAGATGGAAAGTACTTTAGTCCTAGAATTGCTATACGGGTAAAGGTCGCAGGTCGGTAGTTTTTCTCCGGGTACTCCGGCTTTCCTCCAACACCAAAACACAGGTCGTCCTTAAATGACCATAGCTATTAAAAGGACGTAAAACACAAACAAACAAACCTAGAATTAATGTAGCAAGTCGCGAATGAAAGTTAATATTTGTCGTCACTAAGTTATTTTATTAGTCAAGCGCTACATGTGTGAAAATGTTTCGACAGATGGATGGACGACTGGCACATGTCACGTGCGTACTTGATGTATGAAATACATTTTATATGTGACTGTCCATTGTATTGTGATATACATATTTCACTATTTGATCAAGCAGTACTGTAAACGTTTTAACAATGAACTCTTGTGCTAAATGTGTACATCTTAGAGATAAACCTGAGCTACCGGACGTTTTAGCCAAATCAGTATCTTCTATGTTTAAAAGAAGAAAACAGTTATTCCGATTATATTCCATTATGCAATAATCGTGTCTTATTTTATGTAAATATAACTGTTAATCATATTTTAGTGACTATATATAGTGTCTCGTTAGCCAAAATTGGCCGGACAACATATATAGTTTTTAGACTACCATATGACTGTATTGATCTGTGTATTGACTTCATCGACACATATTTATGAAAGTACCTCGACAAAGTGACGTCATGAGTCCCGTTCTAGCGAAGTCGTTCACTCTCATGACACATAAATATCCAGATTTTTTTAAATAAACTCTGCCAGACAAATATATATATCTATTATTATAGACTAATAGCTTGGTGTAATGTTCAATAATTCATCATTTTGAATCCACAGTGACCGCAGTATGCCAGTTGCCGTAATATAGTATCGATATATATATAATACTACCAGCTTTATAAATCCGTATATATCATGTGTCGTGGCACGTTGTCATAATCTACATGTATTAAAGAAAACACCACAATCATTATACATTTGATTCTGTATTGTGTACAAAGTATAGAACTGTTGACACGATCGTTAGAAAACATCAATAGAAATGTGTATAGAAATGTCAGATAGAACTGCAAAGCGCCAACCGCACGCTGTTAGAATTAGCTCGGATTATAATTTTGGTAAATGAAGTTATATAATTAATCCAATTATGTAGGTACACCCTCCTATGTGTTAGCCGACTTGAGCGTGCGTTAAGACGCGGGATTAGAGATTTCCAAGGTCTCTAAGTTGGAACGGCGTTCATTAGTTATACATTTATATAAGTGGGTTTTTGCACCTCATCCATGACCTTAATTACATATACATTCACTTAATCAGACGATTATGATATTTCGTTTAATATCCCTTTAAACCAGTTATAAAATGATCGAAGCCAAACAGCGATAACCGTAAGAACGTTGAACCAAACCACTTTTCCGGCCGGGCCAACGTCTCAGACATCATTCCCCCAAATATACATTGAGATTAAATATTTAATTTTTGACATATTTACGATTTTTAAAACGGATTGAGAGAAAAAAACCCAGGAATAGCCAAGAATCCTTTTTTTTTTTTTTTACTTGTACTCACATTTAAAAAATCAAATTTTAAAATTTGATTTAAGGACACATGATACCTTTACTTTTACATGCATCTCCTTTCAAGGAGAGCTCCATAATATGAAAATTACACAGAGCGCATGCATTGATAACGTTCAACTAAATCTAAATAATTACGTCATGCTGATTAATAAAACAGTGAAGAGATCTGTGGTATTATTGATAAAACTCACTCTGAGAGTCACACAGACCTACTGTACATTAACAATAAAACAGTGAAGAGATCTGTGGTATTATTGATAAAACTCACTCTGAGAGTCACACAGACCTACTGTACATTAACAATAAAACAGTGAAGAGATCTGTGGTATTATTGATAAAACTCACTCTGAGAGTCACACAGACCTACTGTACATTAACAATAAAACAGTGAAGAGATCTGTGGTATTATTGATAAAACTCACTCTGAGAGTCACACAGACCTACTGTACATTAACAATAAAACAGTGAAGAGATCTGTGGTATTATTGATAAAACTCACTCTGAGAGTCACACAGACCTACTGTACATTAACAATAAAACAGTGAAGAGATCTGTGGTATTATTGATAAAACTCACTCTGAGAGTCACACAGACCTACTGTACATTAACAATAAAACAATTCTACAGGACCTTTTCAAGGATTTAATTTGCAAGCTTAACTTCATACAAATGTTTCCAATCTTGTACGCGATATAATTCCAAGCTTCTCCGTGCTTTTAGAGTGTTATACTAACAATGAGTCATTGGCTCAGCTTACTAATGCTATAAATAACCAACATATTAATCGGATATCTTAATTAATCTCTTTATCAAATTAATTAGCAGTGTACCGTTTTTAACCAGCTTGTCAAATATACACATATTGACGGTACCTTATGTATTATATTGCCGTTAATGTCATTGTATTTCCCGACAATGATATCGATACCGTATAAAACGAATTAGGGACACTACAATATTAATTAATTACATGTTATGGTAATTAGGAAGTACCATTTGACGATCTAATGGTGAATATCAACATTTCAATCCACATGTAAATTATCATGATGTCGTTATTATATGACAAATTATTATTGCGCATTTAATGCAGTTACTTTGAATGATATGCACCTAACTGTATTCAATAGATGTTTTGAATAAACGATTACTAATTTGTCTGAATATGATCCATTAAAATGTAATTGCTGTCGAGACAAGCGTAGCACGGAGTTGCATAAAATATCGCCATTCAATACTCGCTTGCATTCTTTTATGATTTATGATGATTATTTTTGTTAATATATTTGAAATGTATATTTCAGTTTCTTTTGCTAGCTTAGACAGAAATGTGTCTACATCACTAATGAAGTATAAATAGACCTGATCCACCTGCCTATCGCATATAACACGTTTGTACAGGTTCCCGTAATAATAGATGGCCCCAGTAGGTCTCCATACTTGATTGTTGGAATCGACCAATCAAATCAGTTCTTTCATACGACTTCGGCTCAATGGGCCTATTACTCATTGACTGTGTAAGCGACTACAGGTATACCCGAAGTGCTCGGCAGAAGTGGCGAAAACGGAAACTCGCTGTGTTTATTCATGGGATAAAACTATGTGAAAACGCGCTGTCATTTCATTTCAGTTGGATAGTTTTATACAAGGAGGTGTACTAAGTTCATGAAAATGGCTAGATTTAACCCCATTCAGTGTCTAGCGTGTGTTTTACTTTGGTCGCTGAAGGTTTCGGGAGACAGCTCTACGGAGGATCACCGTTGTCACAAAGTTCAGCGTGAATTTATACACAAAAGGATAGGTTCCTCAGCTTTAGTACCAAATAATCCCATTCATGGTAAGTTTTCCATAAAATACTCATGAACGATATATAATTCTTTAAGGTTCATTATATAAACTTGAAATCAGCTGACAGAAGTTTACCTGTGTTTCGTACCTGTATGTACAGGTGTACATGTGTATTGTCTAAATAGGTTAGACATACGTTGTAACGTATATATATATACGGAACAGGTATAACTAGACATCAATCCACATGTCAGCTGGAACGAAATTGATACCAGTTACCGTAATTAACAATAATAATGACCAAATAATGATTGCCAAAATTTAGCAATTAAAACTTAATCCGTGATCATTAAAAATATTATCAACATTTTTTTTTGTGTTTAAAAAATTCAGTAACATAGCTCTTGCATTTTCAAGTCCCATTTAACTGTAATGTGATATTATAAACTTAAAGTAACTTTTTATTTTATTTCGAAAGGAATTAATATAATATATATACATACTACAGAAGATTTTAATAAGATTGTAATCTAAAAATATCTTTAGGTCCCTTTGATGTCATATTAAATATTGTTTATGCAGTAATATGTGACTGTTGATGTAATTAATGTGATAGTTAACTCATTCACCCTTACATATCTAAACTGGACTTGCCCAGTCATTGATTCAGTAAGGTTCAAATGTGACTTTAGGAGTGTAAATCATCTTTAGATAAAGATTTTTAGATTCTTATATATATAATCTTGATCATCCTTAGATTCAGAGAACATTCCACTTATTATCATGTTGGTTAATATCATATTTTGTTTAATATCACATTTTTTTGAAACATTGTATAATCCACTTTATTACATACTTACTGATAAATATGTTTTTTTTGTATATGCGATACGACACAGTTGCTCTAACCCATATGTCAGCCCTTGCCGTATCACACCCCAAAACCCGTATCAGCCCCCGCCATATCACACCCCAAAACCCGTATCAGCCCGCCAAACCCATATCACACCACTTTGGGATTTTTTTTCGTTTTTCAATATTTCAAAAAGAAAATTAAATCATAAGATAGTAGTTTTTATTAGTAAATATGTAATAAACAGAATAAAACACGCCTTTTTCCATATCACACCAAGTATCAACCCTCGACCAATATCAGCCCTTGGGCTGATATTGCAGTCTTGGGTTGATACTGGGTGTAATATGGAAAAAGCCATGTATTATTCTCTATTTATTACATACTTACTAATAAATACGTTTTTGTTTGTTTATATATATGCGATACGACACAATTGCTCTAACCCATATCAGACTCCGCTGTATCACACCCCAAAACCAGTATCAGCCCGCAAAACCCATATCACACCACTTTTGGATAAAAATTCGTTTTTCAATATTTCAAAAAAATAAATAAATCATAAGATAGTAGTTTTTATTAGTAAGTATGTAATAAACAGAATAAAACACGCCTTTTTCCATATCACACCCAGTATCAACCCTCGACCAATATCAGCCCTCGGGCCTTCGCTTCTTGGGCCGATATTGCAGTCTCGGGTTGATACTGGGTGTGATATGGAAAAAGGCATGTATTATTCTCTATTTATTATATAATACATGGTATATGATTCTGTTAAGGTGTTGTACAGTGTTTTGTTGATCTTATGTTAGTGAATTCCTACATGAAATCAATTATGGTAGTCAATTTCTGACACAACTGTTAAAAAATCCAGCTCTTTCATTGGCCAGTAGTAATGGGAAATGTAAACTTGTGATTGTTTTGAGGTGTATGTTTTTTCTGTAATTAATGCAATTAGTTTTATTCAGGGTCATTTAAAATTAATTACTAAAAAAAATATAGATAGGTTCATTTTAAAGACACAATCATTGTCATGAAACCATGGTGTACGTATACATGTAGTGGGTACAATTTTCACATACCCCACCTCTGATGCCTCCCAAACCCGAAGTTAGATGTAGGTCAAAAACCATTTTATTCCACTGGTTAACTCGTCATTAGATTTAAAAACTTACACATATTTAAACGTGATATAAGTATTGAAAGAAAAACCTAATGACATTTGATCGTGTAGGTATAGCAACATTATAAAGTGTTGATTTCATGTGGAGATACTTTGAATTTAAATACCACTTATGGACGGAACAGCATGATCCGATATGTTTTGTCCGAAAATAATCCAGTTCACTGAAAAGATGAAAGAACATTTACAAAATCATGGCTGGTGTCATTTTCATTTAATGTATTTTGTTAGACTACCTCCTCGTTAACTCAGGTATATCATCCAAGTGTCGACAGGTAAAATGTGGGGTTTTACATCTTCTATATACAAATGAGTTAAGTAAGAAACTTTTAGTTAAGAAATATCATCTCTCGAATCGTCATCATCCAACGAGATTGAAATTTAACTAGCCATTGTCATGTCTGATATCAGACGTTTCGTCTGTACCTATCAACATAGGAAATATAATCTGGTATCCTCATGACAGGTTTAACGAAGAAAGAAATGTCCTAGCTAGACTTGGTTCATATATAGAATCAGGATTTGTTAGTTGTAGTCAGGGCTGGATCCACACTTCAGTTAAAGAGGGAGCGTGAAACTCGAGGACGATTCTGGAGTTTGTTGTGGTCTAAGTTTTGTTCAGTGAAAAGGGTTATAACTGTGAAGTTTTTCATTTGTGTACTTCCATGCTTTTTGGGGCTTATTTGGTGTTTGTGTGTTGGGAGGGGGTGGGTGGAGTCCCTCCCTGACAGTTATAGGGGGTTATGGGTTCATACAATCTATTCACTTATACATATTGGAAATAGCCATGCAATACTACATAGTAGGAAATAGAAAAAACAGCAATTTGCAATCAAAAATCAATTTCAAATCTAAAGGAAGTCTGATTAAATTGAAAATTTGAATGCAGTTGTTCATTGGAATAATGAAGAAAGAATAATTTTGATCTATAATTTATTTGACCAGGTAATAAATACTTTCCTGACTTAAAATGGTCCTATTTTACTATACAAGAGTTGTCTAGACCTGTAACAACCAAGTGTGTTATGTAAAATGCATAGCTCCGCCAGCAAAACACTGACATTTTGTTACAATATCTAGAGTTTTTTTACAATGGCCCAAATATATGCATATATAACCCCATGCATATGGCTTTGTTTTGTGTTGGATACAGCGCTGACAGTACAACGGTTTTGTGACATCTGTTAGTATTTACAGTAATGCTGTGTGTTTATGACTATGCTGATAGAACTAGAGTACTTTGTATTATTTATTGGTTTTAGTCTGTTGACCAAACATTTAGCTGAGTCTGTCTAATGGCTGATGATGTACTCGTAAATAAACATAATTATGATACAGTCAGTGTGTAATTCATTGGAATTTAATTGAAGACTTTTCTGTGTTAAAAAAATGTTTACAATACTTTTTTTTGTATAATTCTAATGCAAATTTAAAGGTTAGAAAATGACTTTCCTAACTTTTATCATGATTTAACTTTTATCATGATTTAACTTTTATCATGATTTAACTTTCAGAAGAAACGCCGATCTTCAATTACCTGTAAATTACCGTAATTGGAAAATTGAAAAATAAACAGTACATGATTATATTAAAAGAAATGAAGAAAATTGTCAACGTTTAACCCTTTCAACACTGTAGACCATAATGGACTCCTCCATATCAATGCATGGTAGAGTCTACCTAAGTTACATAGGGTTGAGGGCCGTTTTGAATATAGTCTATACAATCTGCTATTTTTTTGTTTCAGATCCCTCTGTTTCAATATGTTTTAATGGTGCAAAAGAAACGGGCAGGAAGTCGTGTTGTACCAGCCAAAGTGAACAAAAATATGTGATTGCTTCTGAAAAATATTTAAAAACAAGCATTCGGACAAAAAATGCATACTTGAAAAAGTTACTGTTGGACCATATTTCGCAGTATGAAGGTAAGTGTAGGTTTTCTTCGATCCTGTGGCATTGCTGAATGGTCATATACCCAAAGGACAAGCTAAAAAATGTCTTGAGTTACTTTAGGTCACTGCTTTTTTTTTATAGTTCTTAATACAGATGGTCACTGTAGACAGGTGATTTTTGTGTTTATTTTAGCCACCCTGGAAAGCAGGTTTTAAAGACAGTAAGTACGATAGCTGAAAATAGAGTTCACAGGTGTCTTAATTAAGAATACTGGAAAAGTGACTTACAAAAAATGCGTTATTTAATAGAGGCGACTCAAACAGACAGAAGATATGTTGTTTTAGACATATGACTTTGAGGAATCGATGTACAAAATATTTAATACAATGTATAAGATTTGAAATTTTCGTCTGTCTGCCATAATAAAAAGTGTCAAATTTATGTTACGGTGTAAAAGGTTTGTAGGTAGAATTTTTGTGTAAGGTGTTCTGGTCTCAGAGTTGGCAGCAAGCCAAGGCGACTGTTATCTATAACGTTTGATTCAAGCACACTGCATAGTAGCAGTGTTATGTAAACCGTGTAATTGTACGATACACATGTGTTTCATTATGTATGTATTGATTACGACAAAGTTTAACAGTTCATATCCTTTAAGTTTGTCAGTAGCCAGGTCTACATTCTTTACATTCTCGATTTGGGTTTTAAAAGTTCGTTTGAAGAAACGTTTATTGACATTTTTTACCAATAAAACATTTTATGGGTTTCTGTTGTGTTCATGGCATAGCTCTAACGTATGTATTCACACCCACTTCAAGTTTGCATGTATGTATGTAACATACCCCAGGCACCTTGTGTGTTTATTGATGTCATATATATACATAGGCATGCAAGTACATGAAGTTGATTTGAATTGACAAAATTTGTACACACATATTGATAAAAAAAATGCCAGAAAACAGGAAGTGTTTTGTTTGTGGATGTTATGGGGAAGGTTTCCTTCTTGTCGTATCTACTGCAGAGCATTCTAATGAAATGTTTTTTCGAGAAATACAGCTGTGAGTTTTACACTAGGTGGTAGGCATGTGTAGCCGTAGGACTTCCAACCTGGCTGCCTGTTATACTGAATATGATTAGGGACAGAACATTATAATGTTAACGTCCCTGGGGTGTCCGTGTACTGGTGTTGGTGCAAAATACTAAGGAGAGTCACAGGGCGTTTTTGTTCATGTGAAAGGTTGATGGTGGTTGTGGGGTGGTGATGGGTTTCATGGGGGTGGAAGTTGGGGGTTAAGACTGACTTTATGTTGAAAATTACCCAGGCAGTTCATATTGGCTGTTTTGTTTAAAATTACCTAGCCCAGTGGCCTGTGGGAATGAATCAAAACTAACTAAATTGTGGAGGTGGGATGGAAGGACTGTGCATGTAATTAATTACCTATATTTGTTTACCTCATATAGAACTGGGTGGGAGTGGTGGGGGGAGAGATTTGAGGTCCATATAATTCTAGTATCTACCTAGTTATGTCTTTACCCTATGATAGGGAAGTGGGTAAGATTTGAGGTTTAAGATTCTAAGAACTGCCTATATCATATATCTATATTCTATAGGGATTTAATAAGAAGAGAAAAAAATGATGAAGTGATGAGAGATGGTTCTGGTTCGGGATATGGGGAATGGGTTTGAGGAGATGAAAGTTAAGGGGTTTGAATGGTGAAGGATACAGGGGAGGTTAACAGAGGCTTCAGGAATATGGGAATTAGGAATGACTAAAGTGAGGATGGGTGAGGAGAGATACTTCAGGAGTTGGAGGAAGGATGGGGATAGGGTGGGGGTATTAAAATTAGGGTGAGGGGTGAGGAGAGATACTTAAGGAGTTGGAGGAAGGAATGGCGATGGGGTGGGGGTAATGGTGAGGGGTGAGGAGAGATACTTAAGGAGTTGGAGGAAGGAATGGCGATGGGGTGGGGGTAAGGGTGAGGGGCGAGGAGAGAGGCTTCAGGAGTTGGAGGAAGGAATGGCGATGGGGTGGGGGTAAGGGTGAGGGGTGAGGAGAGAGGCTTCAGAAGACTGCTCTAGTAATTATACCTATACCTAAGAATGTTCCCTCTGGGGATCTGCTGGGGAGAAGCACTTGAGAGGGAGTTTTGTTATAACTACCCTAAATCTTGTCTACAGTAGGGTAAACATTGTAGAAGAACAGAAATTGGTTTGTGTTGTCACAGAATGACATAGAGCTTTGTAAATAGTTGGGGATGTACATCAATTGGGAAACGGGGATCAACTTTGGGTCGGTTATCGTTCAGTTGTCATTGGGTTTTCAACGGAAGAAAGGAGGGAAAGTATTTAGGTGTATAGTGGTTCTAAAAGTGTTTAGGGAGATTCAGAAACTTCCCAGTTTTTCTTCTTCCAACCCCCTCCCAACTACCCCTAGTCTTCTTCCCCTGCCGCAGTCAGTCTTGTTGTAGAGGAAAGGAATAGGGGACCTTATCAGAACTACCTATCAATTCTGAGGTGAAATGGACCTACACTTAATTGGGGAGAGAGTTTGAAGTGTCTTTCCATTCTGAGGAGATTTATCAAAAATAGCTAAAAAAAAAACAACTTCTGTATCCGAATATTTGTCATACAAACTGAGTTCAGCTGTCATAAACAATTATATTGATACGTGATAGGAGAGTACCTTGATATCTACACAATAATATATATAGTGTGGATAATTCAATTTAGACACAAAAATACTCGACCGTTGCTGTATTTGATTGAAGCCATATATCATGTGCTTGTTAATGAATTGTGGGATAAGCTATATGCGTTTTATCATCTTTCCCAGTAGAATTTGGCTATTTGTTATATTGATTTCTATAAAGTTATCCCTGTATTAATCGTGTTATAGCTAGGATTTTAGTCTTTACCGAATCCTTGTTTCGTCTCCGTATTATAATGGCAGGTTTGATTGCAGTAATGGCTCAATAAACCTTACGCAAGGACTGTTAATTCAAAATATAACAGACTACATGGATATATGACAGAAAGGAGATTTCATCCAATTTTTTAAAAATTATTGCCAAGAAAAAAAGCAGAAATGTTTTTTTGTGAGAAAATTAAGAAAAATCATAACAGAAATGATGGCCGTTTTTATATAAAATTTTGAATTTCTGATGTGTGTTTATTAAAAGTATAAAAAAAAAACCATAGCTGACCCTGAATGATGTAAAAAGTCACTGTGAATACAGAAGAATTAAAAAGATAAAAGATACATATAAAAACCAATATAAACATGTATATATATTACGTGTGGGAGATCCGTAATATCAGTTTCTAGGCATGCAATTGGGAGTAAGTAGCCAGCCAGGACCATTCTGCTGGGATTGTTCTGGAAGCATCTGTTATGAAGGATTGCATTAGGGAATAAGGGGTCTGGCTCTGGCAGCTTCTGATGTAAAGAGCCTTGGGAATTAAGGGGCCAGTCAACAGCCTCTGTTATTATACAATTATGGACTTCTGTGCTGGTGAATATGATGTGATATGAAACTGAAAGAGGGAAGCCTCAGTCAATATCACTCTTTCAGGTTCATATCACATCATATTCACCAGCACAAAAGTCCATAACTGTTTTATTATATGCTTCAACAATAAAATAAAACAAAACTCAAGGTTCTGTTTTTTGTATGCGAGCCTCTGAGTAAAATTTAGCCAGGTTTGAATTCAACAGTTCAGCATCGTGGCTTTCGAAGCATCGTCTAGGTAATTTTTCTTAAGATAAGCATGGAGGACATACACTGCGTGTTCAATGGCCTTTTTAGGTCACCTGAGCTTTGGTCAGAATCATCCTTGGTAGATGAGGCTACAAAATTGTAAAATTGGGATTCCTACCCCAACCCCTGGGGCCAGGGCGGGGCCCCAAAGGGAAAATTAACCAATATTTCAAAAATCTTCTTCTCCAGACTCAGAGGTACTACAGTCATTTTCTCTGCATGGAAAGAAAGATCATCAGGGGCTTTACTTAAATTGTAAATTTCAGGACCCCCGAGCTATCCGTTCTCCCTTGGGGAGGGGGTAAAGTTTACTATAGTTTATATAGGGAAATAACACTTTTGGGTATATTTTGACAACTTTCTGTAGGAAATTATTTTTACTTGGTGAGAATTATCCTTGGAGGNTAAAATTCTTATCCTTTGATGACATGACAAGTATTGTATTTCACTTAGTTTACATGCTGATTTCCACATCACATCTAAACAATAAAATAAAGCTACCAGTACCTATGATATAACTCAGGTGACCGCTAAGGCCCTTGGGCCTCTTGTTTATGTTAACAGCATCTTTATCCTCGAATATGTTTTGGTAATTTTCTGATGTAACGGAGGTGAAACGTTCGCCAGCAGCCATCTTCTATTGTCTGACAGATCGCGTTCCGGTCTAACTGCGCATGCGCTAGGACAGGTTCCGGAGAATTTCCAAAAAGGCTATATTTAGAAATCGATATTCACCAGATAACCAGTCTACATGAGTTTTTGAGGACTGGTCACGTGTATAGGATTCGACCAATGTGATGGCGAGAATTTTCCATGCATATAATAAACAGTTATAAAGGGGCTTGTTAATAATGGGTCTAGTCTAGATCTAGGGCTTGTGTTATTGAATTGACTTAGTAAGGGACCAGTCTGAAAGTTTCTGTTATACAGGTATACATTTATAATTAAGGGGTCAAATAGAAGCTTCTGTTATATAGTTGAATTAAGGGGCCAGACTATCAGCTTCTGTTCTACAGTTAAAAGGGGCTAGGGAATTAAGGGGCCAGTCTGGTAGTTTCTTGCTGCTTGTCAGAAATTGTATAATTGCAGTATGATGACAAAGGCTGTCTTTACGGTGTCTTCCCATTTATCCAACTTCTGAAAAAAGCTTTTCCCATTTATCCAACTTTATGTTTTATGCCCTGTGGGTATGTTTGTTTAGTAGTATATTTTAATCATTAGGTGAAATAACCAAGACAAATTGTTCCATGGATAGAGGGAAAAGTATTATAGAGTG